ACCCAATCCAAAACAATAACTAATTTGCTTTCACTTGAAATGCTTCGAGGTCCATAAAAGCATGGGCGGTTCATTACTTGATATCTTCGGACGGGCTTTGTTGAAGCTCCCTTTACCCTTGTTAAAATCCAAATCTAATTTAACTCAATGGAGTGGTTCAATGCTTAAAATTTTAAAATTTTAAGTTAAAAATTTCAAGTTTGAACTTTAAGTTAATTGAGAAGGAATTTAGAGAAATTGAAGGGTTATTTCTCTTGTATAACCCATTATTATTAGATGTATAAAAAAAAAAAAAAATCCAGACCCACTTCATTTGAGCTCAAAAGACTAATTTGCTTTCACTTGAATTGCTTCTAGGTCCACAAAAGCATGGGCCTTTCTTGATGTTTCTGTACAGGCTTTGTTGAGGTACCCACCATGATTTTTTATGATTTTTTTTTCTTTTTAATGGTAAAAGAGATTTTCAGAGTTCACAATTAACATAATAACCAAGAAATTCCTTTAATCATAATCTTACACATTTTTGTAAAGCAGATCACTGTTTCAAATTCAAGAAACCCATAATAAAAGAAAAAGAGAAAAACCATGGATCTTCCAATAAAAGCTTTTGAAAGTCTGATTGTTCCCTTACAAAGGCACATGGAAACATGGGCAATATGCCTGTTTTTGTCCCCTTCGACAAAAAGGCTCTTTTTTCAAATAATTCAGCACATTCTTTTCCTCCCTCTTACACCCCATTTTAGCTTACCATGTGCTTGGACAACTCACCCCTCAAAGCTGTAGGGTCAGTGCCCTAAAAATGAGGGACCCCCAAAAAGCCCTTTTCTTAATCCTTTCAATGTTTTGTAGTGCAAGGCTACACAAACTCTGTCAGGGATTTGGAGCCTGAGTGGGGATATGTTGTGTTCTGATCTGATGATTATCTAACAGAGCCAGATGAGTGTAATCAGGATAAACATAAACATTGACATTGGACATCCATGTCCCACAATAATGTTCCAAAGTGTGGATGCCCTAACATGCAAGGATACAAAGCCCCCAAAGGAGATCTATCTTCCTGGAAATTCCAGTGCTGTTGGCTTGGAACAAATAGACCAGTGGCAGTGGACACTTAGCCCTTCAAAAGGTGGTTAATGTCCCTTAAATCGCCTCTATCCTCCTATTCCATCCAGCAAAATAAATAATTGAAAGGGCCAACTCATCTTTTAAACAGTCCACTCTTATCATCAACCACAAATTAAATGATATGAAAGAATTGACCATTTTGGATTTAACAGAGTTGGAATATTTATTCTGTGTGAAATCTTAACTTTGAGAGTCATGATCACTGACTTTAATTTGTTTTGTTGGAGCCTCCTATTTCTCCTTTCCAACTAACAATCTCAGCCTATGAACACACAGATAAAGAAAAAGGTCATAAGAATATAATAATAGTCACAAATCACAATCACAAACAGACAAACTAAAGGCGATGGGTATAATGGACACTTGCCGTCTTCAATTTCTTTCAAATAAATGGCCAATTAATTTTATAAATTTAATATAATTTTTATTTTTACACATATATATGATGTAACATGTTACCCAACAGATGAAGAGCTCCATTTTTTGAACGCAACGAGAAATTTTCATTACATCACCGTCATTAAGCATCTATAGCAAAGTCTTATTCAATGGATAAGAGGAAACAACAAACAGAAAAAAAAAATCTGGAGAGAAAAGACGAAGGAGACCCATTTTGTAAAGGATGAAGGGAGATGAACTGAACACTCGAACAATCGCAAGAAACAAACTGTACAGATTTCAAGGGTCGAACGATCCAGCAAACAGGACACCTTTCAATCTACTCATGTAAAAGTTATGCAAAGCCTCCAAGACGCCGAGGCGGAAACCCACACAGGCGGAGATGAAGAGCTCCATTTGGATTTAATGGCTACTGGCTCCATCTGGATTTAATGGCTACTTGGGTAGCTTGTCCTAATTAAAAATTCTTGATTTTGTATTCAATTTTTCCGTTTAGGGTTAAAAACCTCGCATGGATATAATTATGAATATAAATAATATAATGATCATTAAAATTATAAAATATTATTTTTAAAAATATTAATTTAATTTAATTTAATTAATAAAAATGATTAATAAATTAAAATTAATTAATAAATTAATAATTTTAAATATTATTTAAATAAAAAAATAAAACTTAAAATTTTGATTATTTAACAATTTTAATAGTAACAATAACCATATCCACGTCAAACGACTCAAACCTCTACCTGGAAAAGTAGCATGATTGCGTTGGCAAAAAACACTAAAAAAAGTATGATTTAACTCAAGATTTTTTTGGGCAAGTGATTTAACTCAAGATGACCATCATCATCCATCACCTTCTAAACTCCAAATGAAACTCTATAATTACACCCATTATTTGTTTCTTGATCAAAGTTGATTAGTTTGGCTGGTGGGACCCTATAGTCATGCTTTGATTACCACTTTGAATCTTCATTTTAGTTTTATTTTTTCTTTAAAGGAAAAGAAAAAGAAAAAAATCAGTCCTTTGTTAAAATATCCCTTGGTCTAATAATAAACTAATAATAAGAGAGAGAAGGAAAAAGAAAAATGATAATAATCCACACACCTACTAACAATTGTTTTGTTTGTACTTCTAAGATCTTACGATTGGTTTATTATCTTTGTTCAACAATTGACCATGAGTAGAAAATAATATTTCATTCATTCAATTGATCTTATTCGCAATTATAATATTTTAATTTTTTTATGAAATAATATTTCATATTTCTTAAAAATAATGAATTAATTAAATTATAATTTTAATTAATATTTTAATTTAATTAAGAAAAAAACTCATCTCTCTCCCTTTTTTTTACCCTTAACTATACTCTTAGAGTTATAACAACTCAAAAAATTTATAACATACAAAATAATAAAAGATCTTACTTTACTACATTTGAAATTAGCTAGGTGGTGTTTGATTACAGAT